ACTTAGTAGTTATATAGAATTTGAACATGCTAACTAGGTTTAAGCATTGCCACACAAATGAAATTCATAAAACTGGGATTCTAGCTTTAAAGCAACTGCATGAATTCACAGATTCACAGAATATTCTGAGGTGAAAGGGACCCACAAGGATCATCAAGTCCAACTCTAAAGTAAATGGCCATCAAAATGGTTGAACTCAGCACCTTGGTATTACCAGCACCACACTGACCAACTGAGCTAATTGCCTGCAGTCTAAGAGACACATTCTCTTAGAAACACACATTCTTTTCATTCTCGTCAGATTTTACAAAGGGAAATTACCTGCTGAGTGTTCTGAGGTTCTGCTGTGGTTCCTTTTGATAGCTGCCGGATTTCTTTCTGAACTTCAGCAAATGCTTTATTTATTGTGCTAACTTTTTCAGCATTTTTAATGTTTATCTGGGAGAGAAAAAATACACATATTTGTATTTTTAACAAAAATTCCGCTGATGTGAAGCTGCCCCATTTTTGTGCAATTATTATGCAGCCAATGTTACATGCTTTTCAGTATGTTTTACCTGTTACTTCATTAGGTCATCTAGCTGTGTACTAAAAAATTCAAAATTAAGAGTTAAACTTGCTCTACTGGAATGGGAGTCCATAGTGATCCAGGAAGAGAACACAGAGAAAACAAAAGTCAGGCTTCACAGGCCCTGCTACACCCCACCCTCAGCTCCTCTTAGCTGGAATGAAGTCCCAGGAAGGGTTCCTTCCATCATCTCTCTGGTGGACAGACCCTGGCTAGATGCCAGGTGCCCACCAAAGCTGCTCCATTGCTGCCTTTTTCAGCTGGACAGGGGACAGGAAATATAATGAAAGGCTCATTGGTAGAGATAAAGGCAGAGAGAGATCACTCACCAGTTGCCATCATGGGCAGAATAGACTCAACTCAACTTGGGGAAAATGAATTTCATTTGTTATCAAACAAGTGCTGCAGAGGAATCTCAGCTCAGACACCTGGAACACCTCTTCCCCCTCCTTCTTCACTGACCTTGGTGTTTGCAGGGCTGCTTCTTTTAAAAATCCTCACTCCTCTATTATGACTGCTGCTGGTGGTATGCTTCTTAACTACATCAACCCAGAGGCACTGCCAGTACCTGATGGGCTCTGCCTTGGCCAGCAGCATATCCATCATGAAGCCAGCTGGCATTGGCCCTTTCAGACATAAGGGAAGCTTCTGGCAGCTTTTTAGAGAAACCATGCCTGTAGCCCCTCAAACCAAATACAGTTTGTAAATTATTTTACTATGTTGAATTTCTTCCAGCAGCTTACCTTTCATCATCACACCTTGCATCCTGATTGTTCGTACTAAAGGTCTGGCCAACGTCTACCAGGTTTTGCCACAGTATTTAAAGAAACTGCAGAGTGTAATGGGCACCTCAGCCTCTCTTTTAGCCCAAGTCTGCCTTTAACCCAAGTCTGCCTTTTTAAGTTATTTCATCAAAGATTTTACTTTCCAAGAGGAAGTGCTAGAATATGGACACGTGTTGCACTCTGGGGACAACTCTCTGTGGTGGAGGAGCAGGGTGGATGCAAGAGGGCATAAACTCTCACCACTGCAGCAAAGATTCAGCTGATCTGAGCCTTTGCACCTGCTGCTTCCAAAGTCTGGAACACGATCATAGCCAGGTGATAACCTATTACATTGCAAACATTCCAGAAGCATGCTCATAGGTCTTCAGGCAACCCCAAATTTCAGCACACCTACTGCTGTTTCAAAGGCTACCCCTGTAGTTCACCTCTGAGCAATTTAAACAGGCAGAAGCAAACTGTGAATGGTTACACGTATTCATTTTACTTTCAAAGCCTCCATAATTTCAGCGCACGTATGCAGAAACAACAATTCCATTCTGACTGACCACCAAAACCAGTATTAAGAAAGCAGTGGCAATGAGGCTGATACAACAGGCCTACTCAGATGAACATTTTAACTGTGACAGTGACTGGAAAAATACAGCCCCAGCTCTGATCAGAGTGGATGGACTGTTGGGAAAATCATGTACAAACACCATGTCTTCAGTCAGGGCTAGTCATCATCTTCCAGCTTCACAGGGGTTTTAGAAGGTTCCAGTCAGTTTTAATAGTGATATCCTCAAGTACTCAGGCAGGACTCGTCCACAGAAAGAGGCTCTGTAGCTAGCACGGTACCTGCATCAAAAGTTGTCTGAACAGTTACAATGGACTTTTAGCTTTTAATGAGTAAATGTATTTTAGCGAGTTTTTTTCTGAGCATCTTCTTATACTGCTTAATGATAAGTAAATCACATTAAGCCCAAAGGCTTAATGCATTAAAGAACACAGCTTCAAACACAGAGAATAAAATTTTACTCCTAATAAGCTTTTCAAGAATATGAAACTCAGACATTTCATGAATATGATTTTAAACCTGTTTCTCCCTTTCTATTATACAGAACAGTCTAGACTAAGAGGAGATGCGATGCCAGCAACATGAAATTGTTTCTTCTGAAGTTTCTTACATTCCTGCCTGTCCACCAGATTAATTTGTCAAGTGGAGCTTGCAGGAGAAAATCTGAAACAGCCTTTTTTTAAAGAGCCATTTACTTGTGTTTGTCCAGCAGACTGCAACTGCATCAAGTGGAGAAAATAAGCCACTATCTGGTTTTATTACTTTTATTTACTTTTTTTATTTATTATTTACTTAATACTTTTTTACTTTTATTACCAGATGCTTTTCTAAAGGGGACAGCTGGACTCTTGCAGAACACACACCTCTCAGGCTGGAGGCAAGGTTTGAGAAGATACTCACTGCTCACAACAGGAAAATTCTTGCTTAGATCACCCCCATCCCTCTTCCCCTGCACTGCTCCCTGCTCCATGACCCACTCTCTCCCTCCTCTGCGCTGTGCTCTTCTACAGACATGAAAATAACATTATTTTTGCTTCTTTGTTTTTCTATTGCTTTAGTATGTTAAACTGGCTCACAGAAGCATCTACAAAGCATCACAGCCCATGTAAGGGGCAAAAAAAGGGCAGAGAAGAATTAAGAGCAAAACATCCAGCAGTGCACACTCCTAGCTCTGTTCACTGCATCTCACTGACAGTTCTACTTGACAGCTGAGGCAGATAAACAGCTACTGGATCAGTAAAGGCTCCATCCTTTCTAGTTCATCCCCACCAAAAAGCTTCTCTCTGCATTCATTCATTCATAATTAAGTTTGTTCAACTCACCAACCCAGCACATAAAAATGCAAAATATATTTTTTAATAGCTTTTGCTGCTGATTTAGCAAGTTGAGTCACCTAGTGGGCGTAGAATTCCTGAGCCAGCAGCAAGGAGAGCTGTGGGACTATAGCCCAGAGTCTGGCAAGGCTCCCTTCCTGAGACCAGGAACGTGATGGAAAGGAGCAGGACTTCCCCGTGTTAGTTGTACTAACCATAACCAGTGGTTTGGACCAAGGCATTTTGTTAAACTCCACCCTGAATTACACCCTCAGCGACGCTGTGAATGCAGCCCAGTGAACGCGATCTCGCTGAACTGCTGATGCGCCCTTTAGCATCGCATTCCCGAGGACAAGGCGAGATACCACCAGACACTTCCCAAACGACACCTCCCAAGCACAGCGGATGCTTTCTGTGGCATATGCCTGAAGATCAGTCAAATGAACTTCTTGTGCTTCTCCTTTTGCAGACGAAACACACAGTTTTTCCACATACAAACCTAATTTTCGGGTGAAAACCGTGTACTTTGTCGTTTGGTGCCGGACGCACACTGCCCCTAAACCAGCTCGATTTAATCACTTCCGAGCGCTTGCTGCGCCGCGCTCGGAAAGGAGGAAACCCCGCCGGGCCGAGGCCTCCCGCGGGCGCTGCAGCAGGGCCGGGGCCCTCCCCGTGGTGGGGCGCTGCCGCAGCCCGGCCAGCGTCTCCTCCCGCCGCAGCACTCACCTGCTTCAGCCCGGAGGTGACGGGCCGCGCCTTGCCCTTGGCCTTGGCCCTGAGGACGCCGCTGCGGGCGATGCGGAACACGCTGCCGGCCTTGCCGGCCCCGCCGCGGCTCTTGCCCATGGTGGCAGCGGCGGCGGCGCGCGGACGGATGACGTCACACGGGGCTGTGACGCGGGAGCCGCCAATGGCCCACAGCGCCGCGCGGGGCCGCCAGGGGGCGTGCGCAGCCTCGGGTGGGCGCTGTGGAGCCGCAGCGGGGAACGGGACTGGCGGAGTGGCGCTGTCCCTGTCCAGGTCCCTGTCCCTTCCCCTTCCCCTTCTCGGTCCGGTCCCGTCCCGGCGTCAGCCTTGGTCCCGGCCCTGCTTGCCTCTCCTGCGCCTTCGCAGCCAGCTTTTTCAGCACGGGAAGGCTGAGAGCTCCTTGGCGCGCGCCCGCAGCCCAAGCGCCGAGTCCAAAGCTCCGTGTTGCCACAAGCACCTGCTCACGGGCAGCCCCCGGAACACGCGGAGCTTGGATAAATTCCCAGTGGGCGGTGGGACACCCTTCTGCCTCACGGCCCCGCTTGGGAAAACGTGAAATCTTCCTGCGGCTTATTCCGGAGGGAATTGGGTTTACACCCCTGGGAGAAAAACGGGAGGGGATGCAGCGGTGCGGACTTGGCTTTACTTTCGGGAGTGGCGGGTGACCCCAGGAATGGGCACTGCCGCACAACTCGTGCTCTGGTGGGACGGGAGCTGGTGGAGCCACCTTCCCTCTGTTGGAGCGGGCTCTTTCGGGATGGGACTGCGTCCCCCGGGCTACCCCGACGGTGCAGGGGGGAGGCTGGGGAGAGCCTGGGTGACGAAGGGCTTGGGGCGACAACAGGCACGGACGGGCCAGGAGGCCGGAGCGCTGCAGGTCTCCTTATCAGCGCCCGAGGATCGGGGCGTCGCCGCCCGTCCCCTTCAAATCGGGCGCAGCCGCCTCTCCCGCCCCAGCGCGTCCTATCCTATCCCATCCCAGCCCGTCCTGTCCTGTCCTGTCCCGTCCCGTCCCGTGCCGTGCCGGCAGGAGAGCAGAGCCATGCTGCACTGGGGATACGACGAGCACAACGGTAGGGAACAGCGGCCGGGGCCGTCGGGGCGGCCAGCGGGGTCCCGCGGGCACTTCCCGCCGCTGGGCTCGGCAGCTCCCGCGCCCTCAGGAGAGCTGGGTGAGCTGAAATGCTTTGCAGCGTGAGAGCGGGCCGATTTTTGTCTCGGCATTCTGCAAGGCAGGGGGCTGAGAGGTGTCCGTGCCTGCGGCATCGCCTGCAGAGCCGGGCCGGGCTTGGCTCCGGGTCGGGTCTGCCGCGCTCCCGCTGGGATTTCGTTCGCTCCTTTAGCTGAGCAGTTGCGTGCACAGATCGAGTACGTGGCTGACAGCTGCACCGATCGGAACTGCTGTACCAGCAGTGCGTCTCTGATTCCAGCTCTGTTCTGCTTCTACACAGTGGGAAATCCTAATTACTTGACTGGGTTATTTAAATGTATAACTATGCACCTAAGAGGAGATGCTTTTGGATTTTAGTTGTTCAGTGGTTTCCTTCATCTTGTCAGTCTTTGAAGTCCCAAGATGGGCTGATCAGCAGGCTTAAAGACTTGGCTCTGTTTTGCATCTTCAGTCATGCAAACGCTGCTCCAGTGTGCAGACGGTCTCACAAGTCATGCAAGTAGAAATAAAAGTGTTTTTGTAAATTGTAGGCTCAACTCTGATGGAATATCTTATATTGTCTGTACACAAAGCAACGAAATGCTGTGACAGTAAAAGGAGACAGCTACATATTTGCATGTACTAATGCCTATAAGAATATGCTTTGTGTATATTATTACTTAGACTTTGGAATACTGTTTGTGCAAGTACTACCTTTCCTTCCTGCCCCTCTTGTTCCATCTTTTCTGGATGGATGTACTTTTCCTGAAAAACTGGGTGGTGGTGGATCACAGGGATGTTGCAATGATTGGGTGTGTTATCTGCTGTTGTGCAGTCTACCCTACCCCTCCCCTGAAGACGTAAATGGGTCTTGTTTTTCAAATTTTTTTCTCCATATGTTTCTATGCTTTGAGCTTCACCTGCACTGCCCAGATAAGAAGCCCACTTTCTCTTCCTTATCCTATCTCTTCTTGTTTGCTATTCTCAACTTATAGAGAGGGGAGGCCACCAGAATGTCTACTGGGGTGGCCCTGGACCTCGCTTGAGGCCCTGTCTCTCCTATAAAACTCTATTTACTGCCTGCCTGGTAACATATTTGAGGTGGAGTCTGCCTTTCACTTCTTTCTTGGAGCCCCACAGCAGCTGTGGGATGGATAGTTCCTCATCAGTCCATCCCCTTCACCACACCTTTCACAGGAGGTGAGAGGAGGGAGGCATGGATATCAAACACTTCAGTGCTCTTCCCTAGCATCAGTTTTATTTCTCATCTTTTTCTCTTATACTGCATTTATTTTACTGATTTTGCTTGTTATTATTGTTTGATTGAGTAGCAGGTGAAGGAAATTGCTCTGATTCTTGAACAATTTTGTTTGCCTTCATGGCCCTGAAAATAGTTTCTCTGAAACTAAGATTATCTTTTGCAATTCAGACAGAAATAAATGGAATTAATGAAATGTGGTGCAGGTATATAGCATGGTTGACGGCCTAAAGAGTTGAAAAGACATCTGTGTTCACTCTGAGTTCTGCAATTGCTGCTTGTAATAGTCACAACATAAATCATTATGTGCATAAAGTAAACTGGCCAATATTAAAACATAAATGTCTGCATATATGGAATTTCTGTATTTAAGGACATGGGCTAACTGTTAGAATTAAAAGATTTGGGGATTGACCCTGACTGGACACCAGGTGCTCACCAAAGCCACTGTATCACTCCCCTCCTCAGCTGGACAGGGGAGAAAAAATAGACTGAAAGGCTCAGGGGTTAAGATGAGGGCAGAGGGAGATCACTCTCCAGTTGTTTTCCTAGGCAAAACAGACTTGGCTTGGGGAAATTAGTTTTATTTGTTGCTTATCAAATAAGAGTAAGGTAATGAGAAAATAAAATCTTTAAAACACCTTCCCTCCAACTCTCCCTTTACCTCAGGCCCAACTTCACTCCTGATTTTCTCTATGTTCTCTCCTGCACCAGCTGTGGTCAGTTCATCACATGTGGACTCTGCCTCTCCCTTCTCTTCAGTGGCAGGACAAGTCACACTCTGCCCCTGCTCCAGCATGGGGTCCCTCCCATGGAAACAGCCTTCCATGAATTTCTCCAGTGTGAGGGCTTCCCACAGGTTGTAGTTTTTCACAAACTGCTCCAGCGTGGATTCTCCAGGAGGCCCTAAGTCCTGCCAACAAACCTGCTCCAGCTTGGGCTTCCTATGGCGTCCTGCCAGGAGCCAGTTCCAGTGTAGGCTGTCCATGAAGTCATAACTTCCTTCAAGACACATCCACCTTCTCCAGTTGGGACCCTCCATGGGCTGCAGGTGGATCTCTGCTTCACTGTGGACCTCCATACAGGGCACAGCTGCCTCACCATGGTCTTCACTGTGGTGCAGGGAATCTCTGCTCAGGCTCTGGGACCATGTCCTCCCCTTCCTCTTGGTGTCTGCAGACATGTTTCTTTCCCATATTCTCACTCCTCTCTTTTGGTTGCTGTTGCACAGTAAATTTTCCCCCTTCTTAAATCTGTTACCCAGAGGTGCTAGCACTGTCCCTGATGGGCCCAGCCTTGTCCAGCAGTGGGTCCATCCTGGAGCCAGCTGGCACTGGCTCTATTGGACATGGGGAAAGCTTCAGCAGCTTCTCACAGAAGCCACACCTGCAGCCTCCCAGCTACCAGTGTCTTGTCACACACACCTGATGCAGAAGTTCTCGGTTACTTTGGTGCACCTATTTCTGAAATGCATGAAGGCATTATTTTATTTCTGTGAAAACCTTGGCCTTTGCTTTCTTGCCACTTTTCTTACCTCACAGTTCTGATGTTGCTTATCTGTAGAGGCATAATTCTGAAATCTTGAAGACTGGCTTCAGTGTGGCGTCATGCATGCTTTTCACTGTTGCTCAAGGTTCCTGTCAGGATGGGAATGTTCTTGCCCCTTGAGTCCTTTTTCTTTTACAGGGAATTGCTTTCATTAAAAGGCAAATCAAAGAATGAGTAAGGTTGGAAGGGACCACAGTGGGAAATCAATTTACTTCAGTTTACTATTTGTTTAATTAAATATATGGGAATTATTCACATTTATTTTTTGTTACAGCAAAAAATTCTCTTGATCTAGTTACTACAGTAATGATGAGGCATTTTGTAAATAAAAGGGATATTAATTCATAGAATAATTTATATTGCAAAAGACCTTTAAGATACTTTAGTTGAGCCATAACTCCTTATACATTGTTTCTTTCTGAGAAAAATTACATCATTTCAATATCTTTTTTAAAAAGTGCTTAATTTTACCCATAATAAATTTTTAATTGCTTTTGTTTGAGCTCATCTTACTGTAACCTAATATGCAATCAAATTACTTGCAAACCTAAGTTTATAAATTTAAGCACTCTGTGATTGATAAACTGGGCAATGGATTATCTTTAGAAATAAATGAGGATGTGATCCTGTCAAGGTCAGACCATACTAAAATAATGAATTTTCTATACATAATAACAGACTGTGAAAAAAACCAAACACCTTTTCCACCTGTATGTGCTCCATTTATGCTCATATAGAAGCTCACTGGAATTCAACAGTATCCTCTAGTGTCTTCACTGGGCTTGTCTCAAGTTGTTCTGTTGATGAAACTTGTAATCTTTAGCTTCAGCTGGTTCAAAATGCAACACTATGAGGTGCTATAGTGAGTTCTCTTTCCTGCCAAATTCCTAACTGCCTTCACTGTGAGACCTGTTTCATGAACTGGCTGTGTGCAATGCTGGTGAGTGGTACGTGCAGCTATTGCCTGACCTAAAAGTGTCAGACAATTCATTGCCCGTGGTAATGCTGTGTCCAAAATAAAGGCAAGAAATCTTCAGAGCAGATGGTTCAGTTTTTTGTCATAAATCTCAGTCACAATAGCTTTGATTGTTAAGAGCTATTAGAAAATTGCCTCTAGCAAGGAACGTTTTCCCAACAGCAGAAGAGGCTTTCATAAGTTCAAAAATGGCTATATTAATCACTTTCGTTCAGTAAAGGAAAAAAATGAAAGGAGGTGAATTAATGAGTTATACTCCCTGGATGTGTCTGAAAGTGCATATTTACATAACTGAAGTGTACATTATTTTAATATGGAGGCATCTAATTCAGAAGAAATTTTCAATTTCTTCTGGCGACACGGCTGGCTTAAATCTGATTATATGACTTGCATTTGAGTATCTCTTTCAACAGTAATGACTTTTTTTTACAACAGTCATACACAAAGTTTGCATTGGGCTGTGGTCTGTAGAAATGAATTGAGTCATAGTTTTCCTAGAGTGACAAAAGCATGATAATTGTTCTAGATTGCTGGTAGATTGCCTAGTAAGGAATACCTGTTGATATAACCTAGTGGTATAAAATGAGTTGAAGATTCTTGATACTTTCCTGTATATTTTGAAAGGTCAGATATCTGGTAGTTTGGTTAGTGGTAGATGTTTAATCACGATAGCAAACCAGTATTTTGGTCGTCTGAGCCAAGAACAAGTGCCAAACCAGCAATAATGTAATTTTAGAACTGAATATTACTGTTAAATAATTAGGTAGTGACAGAATCACAGCCTTGGATCCTCTTTTTGGCAACTTTGTATTATTTCTTAATGCAAGTCATCCATATAATTTAATTCAGATAACTATAGATATTTCTGGGACAGAGCAATAGGAGACCAAGTAGTTAAGCACATAAATATATTTTTGGCTTTTCTCAGTTAAGGAGTGTTAGAATTATTAAAATTAAGTAGCAATAAACTTTTTCCAAATCACGGTAGTGAGGTATAAATTATGGAGTGGGGCTTCTTACAAATAAAATTTTGTGTTGCATCCCTAACTATAGGGTATTAGGATCTAAACACAATTAAAATTATATTCTAAACTGTATGTAGTTAGAATATTGAATAGCTTTGATTACCATTCATGAGAGGAATTACGTTCAAACAGTTTTATGTTTCAAACCAATAGGATTTTTATCTTCTGCCTTAGAATCTATTTCTTTCCTAAGTTTAGTTAATGAAGTAACTAACAAAAGTACTTTTTTAAAAATTAAGACTGAGGGCTTTCATCTTTGTTCTGAGGTTTAAGTCTTAGGCTATTCTTTACAAGTTTTTCCCACTTCTGTTTTTCAGTGCTGCTCACAGGAGAATCATTCTCTGCCCAGGTGCTGTGCAAGCTGCAGCCCCCTGCACTGTGGGCCCTTCCTCCCTGATTTACTGCCCGGGTGCATGGGTGCTTTTAGCACCTGTGAGTTTCTGAGCTGTGTTCACTTCATTGAAGTAGAGGAAAGAAAAATATCTAACAGCTTTTGATGTTAGGCTATTAACCACTGCATCATACGTTTTCACCCTTTTTTGTCATAATTTTTATTTAAGTGCTAAGCCATCCAGAAAGACCCAAAGCCAGTTTTTGCACTGAGGTCAGTTATCTTCAGTGTAAGGAGTTAGTTATGAGGATTTCCAGTGGTGCAGATTTTATTTGACCAGGTTCTGATGCTCATGTTAAGTATTTCTTATATCCAGTCTCTCAATTGATTTATTGTGCTTTTTACCCATTAGAAGCCTGGAGGAGAAACAAGTTCTGTGCTCTTCTTAATACTGAAAGATCGTTTGCCCTGCAGACTTTCACCTTTCCCTTTTTCCTTTCTTCTTTCCCCTTGGTCTCTCCTCCTTTCCATCCTAAGGAATGTTTTCTGTCTTTGTAGAATATATTCCCCAGGCAACTTACTGTTCATATTTTTCTTTACCCTCTTATCCAAATATGGTTAAACAATGGCACATAAACTCCTATTGTGAATTATTGGGAACTCTCTGATGTTTAGTAGGTAACAACAGATAACTCACCCTTCAGTGAAGCTTTTCTTACTCTTTTAGGATGTTACTTGCTATTTTCTCATATCCATATTATTGATTTATTAGTTTTTCACGTGACATTTGGCTTAGCTTGCTTGGACAGAGGAAGGTGGAGATGACTAGTATTGATTAACAGCTTCTTTAGTCCTATAATTTATACCTCAGTTGGGTCAATGACACTGCATCTGTGTCTGGCTCATCAGCTGAAGGCAGTGGAAATACAAACCTCACACAGGCACCACTGTCCTGAGTGTTCCTGTTCTTTGATTTTGTCAGTGCTACACTAGCGTGTGTGTATGTGTACCTGTGTGCATGGACACTTCATGATTAAAGGGTGACAGTCTCTCTTCCTTGTGACAGCTGGTGTGCACAGTTGGTGGTTGGGAGGAGGTGATCAGAGGTACAGCAGTGTTTAGGTTCCAGGCACTGCCATCAGGTTCCAGGAACCACTCAGCATTTTCTGACATCACCAGTCACCTTTTTTGAAATCTCCCCATCCCATTCACAGTGATCAGTGGAAGATGTGTTCTCAGGTCTTTTGCAACAAATGAATAAGGCATAAAAAGTTCTTAATACAGGGATTTGCATAGAAAAGAGGTAATCCTTAAAGACACAATGAGACATGATATTAGGCAAAAATGGCATGTCATAAATTTATTGGGACATAGTGCCTGTTGGATACAGGATGCCTGATTTGAATGATCATTTGTTTTATGTGTCTTGTGCATAGCTTAGTCTTACTGGGTACATGAAGGGGTCCAGAGAACTGTTATTGCAATATTTTGCAGCAAAAGTAGCTGAATGTTTTGATCTGTGTTTTCCTGATGCATCTTTTTTGAACTTAAAAGATGCAGATGAGGACAATTCAAGTAGAGTTTTCTTTCATAAGAATGAGGGTGCAGTCAGCAATTTAGACTTCTCCTCCAATGCATTGCAGGGCCTGCCCACTGGAAGGAGGTTTTTCCTGTCGCTAATGGAGACCGTCAGTCACCCATCGACATCAAAACTGAGGAAACCAAGTATGATCCCTCCCTTCGCCCTCTAAATCCCAGTTATGATCCAGCTTCTGCTAAAATCATCCTTAACAACGGGCACTCCACCAGTGTGGAGTTTGATGACACCGTCAACAAATCAGGTTTGTTCCTTTAGTCTTGCACTGTAACTTCCTCCACCAGTTCCTAAATAGAATGCCTACAGCCTGGGCACATCTCACTGCTGGATATGAACTACTTATTAACAGTAAGGCTTTGCTCCTCTGGATGAGAGATTCCTTTTTCCCTGTCTTTCAGCATGCTGCAGTGTGGGAACATATTTGGACACAAGTTCGAGGTTGTGTTTCTCAGCAAGTGTTGGGATTCCCTACTTACAGGACTGGTTTGATCCACCCCCACCAGATGGATAGTGCCAACTCCCTGTTTGAACAGTGTTGTTTACAATTTTTCAAACGCTGCTCTCTCTCTCTCTCACTGCAGATGAATCCTTTGTGTCTCTTTACAGGTTCATTCCAACCGATTCACTCAAAGCTCTTAACTGAATTTAGCTTCAGGTTTGGTTATGTTTTTCCCCTATACTCGGACTTCTTATGACAAGTAAGAGCTGATACAGAACAAGTGAAATAGACCCCAAGGAAATCCTTATCTTCTCTGAAAAGTATTATTGTCCAAGTCTTTTCCAGGGGTGTATAGCTTCCTTTTTTGCAAATAATAATTCTTATTTAGAAGTTCTGTGGTGTATCATAGTCTTTGTAATGTTACTGCCTTCATCTTTGAAACCATCTCTTGGATTTTGGGCAAGGCAGCATGACTCTTCTTCAAGCTGTAAGAGTGCAGAATCTTCAAGCAATAAAATAGTTTTGTGGCTGTGTGAGGCTTAGCTGAGGATTCAAGACCATATGATGCTTTCACAAGCATCAAAGCCAGAGAGAGACTAATTTTTGATGACCCCTTAGTTCTGAGGACTTATTAGCTCATAGTGGCAAGAGGGAGAAACATAGATGGAGACACCGTCATGTTTTTGTTTCCTGAACAGTCTTAGTTTTAAACTTTCTATCAACATTGGATGTTGCCTGAAAGCCACCAGCTGACCATCAATGATCAGTCTGACCTTGTGTCAGATGCTGTGGAACTTCCCAGAATTAATCTCTGCTTCGAGCCTAGTAGATGCTGGTGAACTAAAGCACATCTCTTAGAAAAATATACAATCTTGATTTCAAAATTTCCAGCGATGCTGAACCTACCACAGCCTTTGGTAAGTTGTTCTAATTGTTAATTATCCTCACGGTTTAAAAGAAAAAAGTTAATGAATGTGAATACACCAAGAACTTCTTCCACTCTCTTTACTCCTTTCTTGAAGTGACAGGGCCTGAGCAATGTTTCTCTAGGCTTCCCCTGGTACCAAAGCAATGGTAATGCAATCCTCCTCTTACTGCTTTCCCCAGGCCATATCTTCAAGGATATAGTTCATATAATGGCAAAGCACTGAGAGATGTTGATCAGATAATTAACAGATGGAATACCCAGTCTCCTTCAGTAGACGCCATGTCATCTATGCATGGACCAGATTCTTCAGTTCACAAACATGAATAGAGTAATTCACTATTTTCCCTAATATTTGTCACTGACAAACTTTATCAGTACTGTTTTTGTTTTCTTTCAGGTCATTGCTCAAAAAATACTGAATTTTCTAGGGCCCAAATTTGGCTTCTGGGGCACCTCTGTGAAGTAAGAACTCCTGCAATGTGTTGGTTTCATGAAAAAAATCAAATTAATTGTTACTAAATACCATGCTAATACCATACCATTCTAACGCATTATTAACTGACTCCCATATGAACTATTTCCTCACTTTGGTCAACACTGGAACTGGGCTGTCAAGTCTGTAACTGTTTGTGTAAGTCTGTTTATGCTCTTTGGTACCATATTAGCTCCATTCTTTGAAATTGCTCTACTGATCTTCTTCCAATATTTTTCAAAATTCAAGATACTGATATTTGCCTTAAAAACTTCTGACTACCCTCTTCCTTAATTACTGTTGGAATGAAATGGTTTTGCCATCACTGTGTGATGTGGCACAAATACATCAACAGGCCACTTTCCACATTTTTCAGCATAAGTATTTCATGTTGGTGCATTTCTACATAATAGTTTTTCCTCAGCCAGTTAGAACACTGATCTTTACACTTTTCTAGGATCATTTGCATCGAAGTTTACAGTCCTTAAAATAAAGAATTTAAAAGAGACACTGACCCCCATCTCCTCTATTTGCTAAGTTTATAGGTGGTGTAAATGCATGTTTTTTGAGTTGAAGCTTTAAGGAAGTTAAATATTTTTCCCCAGAATAAACAGTCTCACTTCTTTTTCATTATCCAAGCTACTTGTGTTAGCAAATAGGCAACATAAAAATTCTTCTTTCATCTTTATTTGGTGTATTTTGTTCCTAAGAAAGTGTAGGTTTTGCACTGAACCTAGAAGAGTGAAAAAATTGCTATTGTCCTCCCTACTGCTCTTAATTTAAAAAACATCTGGTTAAATCTCCCCTCATTTCCCCTTAAAATTTCTGTAATGAGCCAGTAAACTATTCCAAACTGATTCCAAAACACTCAGAGAACATACAGAGCTGGGAGAGTGGAGTGATTTGTTTAGCTGTGAATAAGGAATCTCTCTGAGTGTAATTCACATTCCAGGCTCTGTAAAGAGATATTTTAATTCTAAGTCTGACAAGAAAATTATGAGTGCTTGCAAAAGAAAAATAATGAAAAGCCCACCCATATGCATGTTAGTTTGAATAGAATTAGAGCAGAATAGAAATAGAAAGAACAGTATAGAGTAGAAAAGAATAGAGTAGCCTCTTTCAGTTGGAAGGGACCTGCAGTACTCATCTTGTCCAACTGCCTGAGCAGTTCAGGGCTAACCAAAAGTTGAAGGATGTTGTTAAGGGCATTGTCCAAATGCCTCTTAAACTCTGATAAGCCCGGTGCTTTGACAGCCTTTTTAAGAAGCTTGTTCCAATGTTTGACCACCATCATGTTAAAGAAATGCTTCCTAGCATCCAGTTTAAATCTTCCCTGGAACAGCTTTGAGCCTTACCCATGAGTCCTGTCACTGGATACTTGAGACAAGAGACCTGCAGCTCCCTCTCTGCTTTGCCTCCGCAGAAGTAGAGAGCAGTGAGGACACCCCTCAGCCTCCTTTTCTCCAAACTAGAAAAGCCCGAAGTACATAGCTGCTCCTCATAGGATGTGCTTTCCAGCCCTAGCTAATTGTCAGTAATATTGCAGTTGTACAATGCACAAGTAACATTGGCTTAATTTTATTTATGTTAATATAAGCTCCTTTTCCTCAGATTTCAATCTGATATAAATGGATCTAGTTGCAAATGAAGGAAAGAGCCCTGAAAATTTAAGCTCCTCGTATTTTCCACCAAATTTCAAAGATGAAAAAAATTCTGCTGACATTACATTTTTATGATCATGCTCCTTATTCATAAAACCTGTATTTTGAGCTTAATTTCTTAGTGATTCTTTTGACTATAATCAAGAGAGGAAACTCTTGAGTGTTGAAAAATAGAAGTATTTTCCCATTCTCTGAGAAATATCCAACCTTGACAATAACAGCATACCCTTTAGTGGGCCATAACCCACTAATCTGCCCATAAATGCAAATTTCATAGTCATATCCTCAGCAGGTGAGGGTTTCTGTAGTACTTCCAAGAAATGGAAAGCCATCTGAGACAACTTGTGAGCAGGAGCAGAGGAGTACCGGAAGACTGAAGTCTGGTGTGAAGTTAGAAGATGGTTGATAGAGACTCCCGTTCTCTCAGTGAAGCCTTTTCCTCTGCTTGGGTTTCCAGTGCTGACTGGGGGGCCACTCAGCGGGACCTACAGGCTGCGCCAGATTCACTTCCACTGGGGATCCAATGATGAAGCTGGCTCTGAGCACACGGTGGATGGGATGAAGTATGCAGCAGAGGTAAGGCTTTTCATGGAGTCATCTGTACCTCTAAGCTTGTGACTAGTTTTCCATTGCAAGAATAATGTTGCCCTTCCTCTTCCTGCTTTTCATCTTCCCCTTATTTTATTGAAAGGCAAGTGGTCTTCCTGAAGTGTTGCATGTTGGGTCCTTTCTCAAAGGAGAACCTCTTTGAAAGCTTTGCAGAGGATTAAAAAAGGAGTACGGAAGACAAGAGCTTGATAAGAGCAAGACTTAGTGTTCAAGAGTTATTTTAAACTTTCATTGTTTCTTCCTTCGAGAACATTTTCAAAGTCATCTTCAATGGCAAACCACAGAATTGTTGGATTTAGGGCCTATGTAGTGTAAAGCTTATGCAAGACTTAGGAACGTTGCATTTTGTGATGCACTTAGCAATGTGGAGGTTATGACTTTGAGAACCATGGTTTAATATCTGTTGGGTGGCTGCTGTCTGTGGGGTACTGTGCTTCAGTGGAGGTGGTGTGCCAAAGGGAGAGGTACACCATCTGCTCTGGCACAGAGCATTCACTCCTGCTCTGTCTCCTTTGGTGTATTTGAATAATCTGCAGGAAGAAGTTCTCAGTATGAGATTCCTCTTTGCAAATAGAAGTAACATGGAATATTTTCAGGAGATTGTGATCTTTAAAAACATATGATTCAGACAGTGTCAGACTTTTCTGGGGTTAAAAGAAGTAAAAAGTGTAAAAATAAATGGACAAATAAAAAGCATAATACTACAGAAGAAAAAGATGTAATGTATGAACTGTGGTGTGATCAGATTTTACTGGAAATGCTATAAGAGATACTGATGAGGAAAAAAGATTGGTTTTCTAACACTAATGGGGGAAAGTGACATTTGCAGTGTTTAAAGGCTTATGTTTTCCACAGGAACCAGGTGAGATGGAATATAAAGAATTAATAGAGGTGCTTTAAAGCCATTAAGTACCAAACCCAAATTTCTAGCTGAGAAAATATATGTTTTCCATCTAAGAAACCAAATGGAAGGAGAAAATATCTCTGAATTTCTAGCCAGTCTAAAAGCCTTTCTGTTACCTGTTGGTTGGGTAACTCTCCACAAGAAGCTCTCTAGATGTCACTTTGGCTTTGGGATAAGAAACTCAGAATTAAAACCAAGGCTTCTGAACATTGTTCACACAAAAGAAAATGCATCAGAAGGAGACATGAAAATGTTTTCAGTGCTCACCTTTATAAGGAAGATGTGCAAGTTTTGAAGAAAAAGCATCAGCTGAATTGAAGAAAGAATTAACGTACAGGTAAAGAAGACTGCAAGGTTTGGCCCTTAAGCCCTCCAGGAAGCAGAAGGAATCCATGGCTGCATTCTCTGTGACACCATACGGTCTGATCAAGGTCTCTTCACAAGCTGCAGTGACACCGCGGTGGTAAGACAGGATATATTCCTTAGAGAAGTCACAAGCCATTGAGAACGGGTCTGTACCCAAAAGTGTTTCACATTCTCTTTGGGGGCTCTGGTTTTTGGAGGGTTACCTTCTGGGGGATTTTTGGCAAAGCTGTGGGGGAGTGGGAGTGGACTTTTAGTAGCTGTGGGAATTTTCCTTTTTGTTCTTTGTTGGGTTGTTTTTGATGGTGGCTTTTTTTTTTTTCCCCAAATCCACAATAAAGGTAATTTTTGACTGCGAGTATCTGTTTCCTTTTTGTGTATGTAAAAATGTAATTGTTTAAAAGTTCTTCAATATAGGTTATGTGAATTTGTAATAGAGAGCAGTGCAGACACTATGAACCCCAGGATATTAATGCACTTGAGAAAGGTTTAGTGGACTATGTTCTCCTGGTTTAGTGCATAATATTCTTAGCAACTTTCCTTCAAGGATTTCTAAAGAATTGTCTAATTTCAATGACAGCATGCATGTCATTGTGGTTGTACATGTATTAATATTGACGACACTGGGATCCCTTACTTGCTGCAAATAATGTTTCAGCACTTTAGAGCCCAAATGCTTAAAATATTGATGTCAAGTAAGACCAAGTAAGAGTTCTATTTTTAGATATGGAAAATTGAAAATTATAGAGGTTAAGGAAGGATTGATATTTAGAATAAAAATCTTCATACTTCTAGAACACTATTTCAGCCATGCAGCTATGTTGCTTCACGTAGAAATCCTTTAAAGCAGTTTCACCTTTCCTAAATTGTTCTTACTTTACTTGTCTGATAGGTGCTGTATTCCAAAAGGAAGCCTTTTTTTTCATGGGTTCATCCCAGTTTAAGTCACTCAGTGAGTTGTTTTTCAGCATTCTTGGAGTTCAAAATCTGAAAAGATGGTCACCAGTTTTAGAAAAGCCAATCTCACATCCTGCTTCTGAGCATCTTTAACTAAAAATTATGTGTAATAAGATTTACTAATCCATTGAGGATTTGTGAAAGTAATTAATGTTTGTGAAGTAGTTAGAGTTAAGTGCTGTGTGAGTGTGCTCTCTCCAGTTTGGCAGTCAGACCATTGCTCAAGGCTGGAACAACCTGGAACTTCTTGGAAACCAGGAGCTTCCCTCATGAAGTGTGGTCAGGAATTAGGAAACCTAATTTAACAGGAGGCACTTAAGTGGCATGAAAATAGACATCACAGACTTTTCCTCTTCCCTCCTGGCTGGGTAGCGTCTTTAAGCTTCTTAAGCAAATATGACAGGACGCTTCCAGAATAATGCATGTTGGAAATGCAGATACTCAAACCTGAAATAATCAAGCTGCTCGTAAGGGTGTCACTACTGGTAGTCATAGAAAATAACATTTGAAAAGAGTCAAAAATGAAATGGTGATGTTCCCTTAAGCTAAACAAGGGAAAAGGGGTCAGTGCAAGTTTAATGTGTATTTGCCTGTTTTCTGCTATTTATGTGGATCATTAATGTTGTTGAAAGCTTGATTAAAGAAAAAGAGGAGTAAAATACAAATGACATCCTCATGAATTCAAATCACTTTTTAAAATCAGCTGTACTAAAAATGGATTTTAAACCTCTAGTTATATAACCATTGGCTTTTTTTTTTTTCTTAACTTCTCAGTTCAAAATCTGGGGACCCAACAGCAATTTGACAGGCACTGTTGTATGCCGATTGCTGCTAAATTTTTAATAATCTTAGCCACTGGAAATGCTTTTGCCATTTGTGTCAACTACATATTTACTGATTTCATGAAATATCTGCATTTAGAACACTGAGTGATTTTGCACACAAAAGAGTGAAATAGAGTGTCAAACCCAGTAGAGTTGTAATATTTATTTGCCATTACTTGAGTTCAGTGAGAGTTGATGCTGTCTGTGTCTCTTGCTTTTCAGCTTCATGTGGTCCATTGGAATGCAGAGAAGTATTCCAGTTTTGTTGAGGCAGCTTGTCAGTCAGATGGACTAGCAGTCATGGCTGTATTTCTGAAGGTAAGAAGAGAATGCTTCAGCCCTCATAATAAATCTGCATTATAAGCCCAAAGAGATAACAGTGATGGTTTGTGTAAGTATTGCTAAAGACATACTTGTTATCTTATGCTTATTTCCTTCATAGTGTTTAGCTGCCAATATAGAAAGCTGTGCTTCCTTTAAGAATAAAAATATCAGTTCAATAGATTTTTCCAGACAGTCAAACTCTTCAGTTTGCCTAGTCTGCAAGCCCAAACAACATTAGATGTGGAACTTAATTCAGCTGCCCCCATTTGGACCCCAGTAACTTGTTCTTGACTAGCATGTTCCTTTAATGGGACAGCTTGATTTAAATGGTTTTTTTTTATGGCTTCTTTCTGAGCTGGTTGTTCCTTCTAGAAAAGAATAATAATAATTAAATAATGCAAAGCCAGAAACTGGAGAATTTCCTAATAATTATTTTATACCTTTTTTGCCTTCTCCACCTGTTCTAAGATTAAATTTGTGCAACAGCTTCACTGAATTCTGTTTGAAGAAGCAGATGGGGAATTCTCACAATCTATGGCAAAAGATAGGGCTTTGGTGGTTTCTGGTGGCTGACACAGCTTCCTGAGAACAGCTAGTACTGGCACTGGCACAGTCAGAGAACCATTCCATGCAGCAGTTGCAAAGAACTGCTTCAGCAATTCAGTAATTCTGTCTTTTCAATTTGCATTACAATTACTCAAAGGAGGTGTCACTGGATTTCTTAGCACACAAATTCAGTCTGGAATGTTGTCACATAAGAACATTGTTTTCAATGTTATAAGCAGTTTAATTTTCTGATGTTAATCTGTAAAAACATGAGAGATAAATGGTTTCTATTCCCCTGTAGTGAAAAATTACTAGTGTAGCTGAAGTAATTACTATGAGTAGCCATAATACTATTAGCAAGGGAGAGAATCTTCTTTATGACCAGTATTATTTCTAAGGACTAGCTAGTCACAGGCTTGTGCTCACTAAATGCATCAGGTCTTTCAGTCACTTCAGTTATATAAAACAGTTTCATCATCCATTTGCTTTTTTATTAATTTTTGTTTCTTTTTTCTTTGGTGTTAATAGATTGGTGAATGTAACCCTCAACTGAACAAGATTACTGACCGCTTGGACACCATCAGAATCAAGGTGAACAAGTGCAAGTGCTTCTAAAGGAATACTAGCTAATATTGGTGGTTGCTTTTGTTTGGGGTTTTTTGGGGTTTTTTTTGGCTTTTTTTGGGTTTTTTTTTTTTGGGTTTTTTTTGTTTGTTTGTTTGTTTTGGTTTTTTTGGTTTTTTGTTTGTTTGTTGGTTTTGTGTTTTTTGTTTGGTTTGGTTTTTGGTTTTTTGGGGTTTTTTTTGGAAGAGTTTTTTATTTTTTGAAACCTGGCTGCTACTCCCTGCATCTTCATGTTTTCTTATCACTAGTTATTGATACCTGATTTGAGACAGTTTATGTGCATTCTGTTTAAGTTGAAAACAAAATAGACAAAAAATAATTTTTACACAGTAAAAGATCAGAGGAAACAGCTAATTCCTCACAGAACCCAGTCTCTGATAAATCTGTTGCTATGAGGATAGTAAAAGGGGAAAAGCATACTTTATGGAAAATTGTAAAAATGATGAGGGAAAGACTTCCTTATCTGTTTTGCTGAGGTGCAGGTTGAGAAATAACCTGTTGTTTGTGCGAGAGAAATCAGCCAGACTTTCAACATGCTGTTCAGACAGACATCTGTGGCCTGGTATCCAGTACAAGGAGAAGCAGAAGTAACTCCTGGGAGGAGTGAGTGGGGAGGGAAGCAAGTGGCAGTAACCTGTGGGGTTACTTTGCCCGCCCCACAGAGACCATGCTGAAAGTCTAACATCTTCTGACTTCTCCCCACAACTTCCATCTCATGGTCGTCTGTAACTTAGGGGAGCCTGTGCTAACAGGACACCTTTCATGGTGTCCTGCTGGCATCAAGGAAAGTCACAGCAAAGCTGTCACTGAGCTAAGACCTTGCCAAAAGGGCAGTGATGAGGACCTCCTGTCACCACCCAAGATGCTGCCAGCCCACTTGATAGTGGAACAAGCTCTACCTCCTTTGGCATGATTTGCTTTGGCCTCTTGCTTTTAAATAATGTTGCCCTGGTATTTCTTTCATTCCTTTCCAGGGAAAAAAAGCATTATTCACAAACTTTGATCCCAGCTGTCTGCTTCCCAAGTCCCTGGACTACTGGACTTACTTTGGCTCTCTCACTGTTCCACCTCTTCTTGAGAGTGTCATCTGGATTGTTCTGAGAGAGCCCATAAGTGTTTGTTCTGAGCAGGTATCTTTGGATTTTTCACTGCTATAGAAATGTTGCTTCTGTAAGAATGGAAATTGTAAATGCCACCCAAAATTATGGGTTTCTGCAGACCTTGGCACTGCAGACCTTACAAGATTTTCAAAAGTCAAAATTTGTATATTAAATTTATTCTGACTAGTTGCCTTTCTTGCTCTAACAGCTATTTATTATTCATTTTTTAAAAGAATCTGCATACTTTAACAATTAATAAACAAAAATAATCCATAGGAAACTTTAAAAAAAGAGTTCTGGTGATGCTTAGAAATTCTGGAATTCCAACTGATTTAATTATTTGCATATCCTGCTCAAACCTCATCTTTGGCATTTTTATCTGGCAGAAAAATAGTAAATGTCTTCTTGCATTCTAAATACATAAACTTGATGAATTTACTAGAATTGTGAAAAGGGAATACTACTGTAATAAGTTTGGGTTATGCTAGGTTGTTTTGGAAAAGCTGTGATTCAAAAAGAGTCTATTTACATTTCTTGTTAAAGCTTCATGCTGTATCTTAACCTTGCAACAGTGACACCCAGCGGGTTGATCCTCTTAGGTGTAAAGTATTTCTGAGTAGAGAACACATACTCAGCAGAAATGGCGACTTCAGTCTTTGCTAAAAATGTTAAGACAGTTCTCTGAATGGGTTGTTTGTTAGGAAACCTCAAATTTCTGTTTGCAACTGATTTGAAGTCATTTATTTGCTCAATGTGTGTATTTTTCTCATCTGTATCTCTTCCTCACTCCCCTCAATCTGGCTTTCTAAGGCTCGCTGCAATGTGTTTGGATCTAGGATTGAAAACTTGTGTTAAGGTATCAATTTTACAAAGACAAGCCATTTTTCAGGTTAAAAGCTTCTTATTTGGGGAAATCTATAATAAATACATTCTAAAATGTGAAATGCTGTCTATAAATGGGTAAATCTGTAATTAATACATTCTAAAATGTGAAATGCTGTATATAAACAGCCATGTGTAACAGGCTCAGGGAACATGGTGTGGGAAAGTGTAGTGATCCTTTATTAGTTATTTTTCATAAACTTCAGCTATATCTTATGTATTAAAGTAGTATTATCAAATATAAACGTGCATGCAGCTAAAGTGTTTGTTTTCAGTAATGTCCACCATTGTGATTGATCAGTCAGCACTGAGACTGATACTGTTCTACCATTTAATTTTATTTAGTTTCTATTTCTTTAAGGATTTAGAGTTTACTACAGACTTTTTGTTGCACTTTTCAGGTTGAAAGAAATTAACAATAGCTTTTAAGTTTTTAGAAACTTACAAGACCCTGTATTACAAGCGTCAGCTTCAGAATGGGGTGAAGCAAGGTAGCACTGACATTTTTTGCTCTTAATGTCATTACAATGCAATGTGCCATTACAATTAAATGCTCTATTATATTGGAATAGTTTTTGAGCTGTCCTGCTTTTGGTAACCTAGGAGGGAAGTAAAGTGGTATATAGTAACTATTGGAATGATTAGAAATTAAACAAAATTCTATACTTAGGTCAGAAATCAGCCTCATATTTCCCAAGGTTTAGACATGGAACTCTGATGGGGTTTCTGCTGAGATCAGCATATGCTGAGTTATGAATAAGTGCTTGTCCTGGAAGTTATGAATAAGTGCTTCACAAGGGAAGAATTTAGAATCTCTCCTGGTTTGAGTAAGGGCTAGTTGCAGAAGCTTTCTGTAGCACCATACCTGCTATTCCAGGTTAATTGTGAATATACTCTTTGAAGAAGGAAACATACACAGAATGTTTGTATGATAAGAAACATAATCTTATCTTTTGGCAAAAAGCATTTCAGAATCTCCAAACTATGAAATCCAACTAAAAAGATACAAACTCCTCCTGCTTTAGACCAGGTTGTGGAAGACAAAGTGTGAATAAAGGAAACAAGTAATCTTTATGCACAGTTTCATGTATTTTGGAATATTTTCTCAGTAGTCATCCTTTTTCATTTACAAGGATAGAAATGGTGAAATTGCCATTCCCCTCATGACTTCATAAAATACAGTTCTGTTCTTTCAGTTGTAAAAAAGTGACAAGTGTCTTTATTATTTACATGCTTTTTCATGAATATTGACATGAGGGTTTTCTGCTGAACCTTATGTCTTTTTTGGTTACAGCTGGCCAAATTCCGCAGCCTCCTGAGCACTGCTGAGGATGAGGCCGCCTGCTGCTTGCTGAGAAACTTCCGGCCTCCCCAGCCTCTGAGGGGACGAGAAGTCAGAAGGAATTGAAGGAGTAAATCCAGAGTAGGCTCCCTCTGAAACCAAAGGCTGAATTCATTTTAATAGTTAATATACTTTGTGATGTTTTAATTTTTTTTGTGAGTTGTTTTAACCAATAGGTATTAGTGGTTTCCATGCAGTCATTTCTCACAGGCAAGTATGTCTGGAGTTATCACAGGTTCGTTGATGTTAACTGGGTTTGAGTGCATTGGAAGCACTGAGCCATCAGCATTGCATACACAGAGGTCACTGCTAATAATAAGGGTCAAATGTGGAGAAGGAGTTGTCCAGATTTTCCTACCAAATTGCTGAACAAGATCCTTGGTATTATTGACAGTATAGGATGTTCTGGGATTAGTCTTCTGGTCTCTAACATAACATTTAGCTTCTGTATAAACCTCACATTACATTTTTCAAGGAAAAAAATATTTCAAGAATGATGTAATTTCATTTCTGACTTCTGCAATACCATATTTACTTTCCTACAAAAAGCAGTAATGACTAGCAGCATTTAAGTAAAACAGATATTGATATGATTCTGTTATTCTGGCTGCTTCATAGCAGTAATCGTGTACTGATTGATAGGTTTTTTAAAAGCAAATAGTAAGGATTTTGTATATTGCAAGATCATGTCAGGTAGATTAGGTATTCCTGAATTCTACAATGTCACAAGATGAAATTGTCCTGAAACCTGAAAACTGCAAGGTGGAAGGACATAGAGGGAGCTGTTTGTGCTTAAATCCAGTTTATTGCACTTGGTGAAGAATAAGGGATTATTACACTATATCCATGTAGCATCAGACTTTTGCCACATAAAATCAAAAGGCAGGGGTAGCTGTTGTTCCAGACTGTTGCATGCTGCAGTGTGAAGCACATGCTGCTTACCTCTGATCTCGCTGTGGAGCACAGTACTGCCCAGGTACAGAATGTGTCAAGGTGCTGGCTGATGTTCTGCTGTCATAGGTGAACTTCAGTAGTTGCACTTACATTCCAAGACCAAAGAGAATAGTCAGAGAGAGCCAAAGAAATTGGAATCAAGTCAACATCTAATAAAAAGCTCAGTAGCAATATGTTGAAACATCTGTCTTTATGAGTTGACTTGAGCCAGTGTTTCTCTCAGGAGCTTTTTTTATCTCAATATGACTGGGGTTTTTTACACCAAATATTTTTATTAATGAACATGCCATAGGATATAGCTTAGGATAGAATTAGATTTACTCTCAAACTGTGAGAACTACATAGTGAAATCCAGGGAGTGATACCTGAAAGAGGTAGCTAGAGGTTTTACTGGCAGCAACTAACACCAATCTCTATAGTACTTCTGACAAATTTGTCTTCCATAACTGCACTCCTTGAATTCATTTTTAAATAGGTTTTATAAGCTCTGCCTTTTACCTCAGTAGGTCATTTGATCTTAGATGAACAAACATAAGGGAAATCACAGTCAAGAGTGACTTTATATGCTGTTTTAGAACAATAAATTAGACATAGAGATATAGATATTTTATCCTAGTTTAAGATATGTGGAATTCTTTGTTTTCTCCTCCCCAGAATATAGCTATTATATTCTGCAAGGCGTCCCAATGGCTTTTGAATATTTTCTGAAGAAAAGAACACAGACCACTGGAGAAAAAAAAGGCATTTAGCAGCACTAAAAGGAAAAGTGAGAGTGTGTTGAATGTTTTCACTCTCTTTTTTAGACTTAGGATTGGATCTCATCTGTTTCCCTGTTATGTGAGTAGCTACAGAATGTGTAAAAATATTTACAAATGGCAGGAAGGATACAAAGGATTTGTTGGTCTCAGAAGAGGAAGGAATAAGGCTACTGCTTCATATTGTAAACAGAAGTTTTACATATTTCTTACATATTGTAAACAGTAGAGTTGACTCAATTCTTTTATATTTATAAGGATTTTATAAAAATAAAATATGGATTTTATGAACGTGTCTTGTATTTTATATTGAAGAGCCTAAAGTTTTACAGAGAAGTCTATACTTTTATAATTAACACCTGCAGCTTTAGGTTTGGAAAAATTGTCACCCATCATTTGAAGTCTGTCTCTGGGTAGTGTAGTATTAGGTATGTCTTTATGTTCCAAATAAAATATTTTTGGTAGTGGTAAGACATGGAATCAATTCTTCAAGTTTCTGATACTGCATTTTTGAACTTTTGACTATTTTTATAGTTATGCTAATAAGTTTTAGAAGAAGTAATCATTCCAGTGATTCCCCTTTTGTGGAGATGCCATGTTCATGTTAGATTGGCCTAGCTGGAACAGCTGAAAAAGACTAGAAATACTGAGTTACCTGAAATCCTTTGGGACCAGCTTCTCAGGTTATCCACTCCCTACAACTGTAAAGTGAGAATTTGGATACAGTCTCAGCTCTCAGCATTTGGTTGCACCCTCAGTCACTAATTTCCTGTGTGCCCAAACACACTGAACCTCAAACAGACTATTCAGTGTGCTCCCAGAGAATCTTATCTCAAGTATGAGCTCCATATTGTCCTCCACAGCAACTGAGGCTGAAATTTGTCATCACCCGCCCCCCAGCCCCCTGCAGCCACATGTCCCTTTGATCAACTCTTAGCTCTCTGACACACTTGGAGCCTTTATATTAAGAAGAACTAAATGCTCAGTGACCAAAAAAATATAGAGTGTATTTGCTGAAAATAGTAGCTGTCAAGAATTGTGGACTGCTGGAAGGTTGATCACCCACAAACTTATTCTCGGGATTAAATAAACCGCAGCAGAGCCCTGGGGTCAGCTCTCTGTTTTTGGCACAGGAGGGAAGCAGTCTGCTCTGCTATGCTTACAGCATTTGCCATCATTCTCATGATGCTTTTAATGTTGCACATGTTTAAAATCAGCTGGGAGTTTTCTTTATGTCAAACAAAAAACCTGAGAAGTAGCGCTCTTCCCTTCTGGAGTACAGTGGTCTGAAGATACACCAGACATCTGTTTGATGCCATACACCCATTTGCTATGTACCTATGTTTTCTCTGCTGCTTAGAGATTTGTCTCTCAGTTGCTTCCAGACATGAGCTGTGACCTAAAGGAATTCTAAGAATGAATTTGAAGGAAAAAACCGCAAGTCATCAATTAATAAATATCACAGGAAAAAAAAAAAAGAAGTAAAATATGGCATATGAATAAAATAACATAAATGAAATGTATATTATACAGTTTCTATAAACTTAATGGAAAGGAAATTCTGGATTTAGATTCTTGTAGCTTTAAATAGGCAAGGGGCAGATTACAAGATAAATCTTCAGATGTTAAAAGCTGCAAATAATTGAGAAACTTGGAGCACCTTCATGTTGTAAGCTCAGCATAAAGGTATGAATACCAAAGGAGTCTTGCTCAAGAAATGTGGCTACTTTCTTTTACGGTCTATTAATTTGTCTAAAAAAAACCATGGTGACAATTTCCCTTATCACTCTGCTAATAGATGGACTGCAACTAACTTCTGACCTAGGTGTTACATTTTTTTGTTCTCCCACCCAATCTGATCTTGCTTTCTAGTTGTAGGTGTGAAATACAGAGATTTGGTCTGTGATTTAATCTCTTAGATACTGTTATTTCTGTATCTCTTATTTATGAAGTACTTGACTCAGTGACAGGGGTCCTTTTTTCTTCTTTGTGTGTCTGCTGTTTTTGTGAGACAGGAGATAATACTGAAATGCTGAAACAAAAACGTGCCTAAATTCATGGGGTTTTTTTCCTATTTCTGTCAACCTCTCCATCATTTATGCCAAGCACAAGTTTTTACTGTGGTGAAACATTTGCATTTGTAATCTATGTGTCTTCTCCTGTGCAGCAGAATTTGACAACAGGGAGTGTCTCTGACAGGAGAATACTGGATTGTCATGTGAAAACAAAGATTCTTGGCCTCTGATTAACAGAGATGATGTGCTGCACTGTCAATTTCTGTGTCTGTTTCTATTTTATCAAATTTCACCCACATACTTGGGTAGATAAATTTGAATAATTTGTAGATACTACTGACAATTTCATTTATCAGATTAAAATCATATAGGTTACATGAAATAGGTAGAAAAAAGTTTTTGTAAAGATCTGATTTAAATATTTTTCTGTCTTTGGTTTGTAAATATTTTGAATGAAATATCAGCTGTTTAAATGTCAACACTGCCATTCTTTTCCTTTCTACAGTTGTATGAACAACAGACAGAAATGTGGCCTCAATATTTCTTGGTTTTTTAGCAGCACTTTAGTGATTTTGAGGAAAAAAAGTTAACCCAGTCATTCTTGGTTCTTTTCTGAGATTTTTTTTCTTGATTTATGTTTTCCCTTCAGCTTATGTTTTCATTAATAAACTGGCAAATGGTGCTGATGATATAAAATCTTCCCCTATCAGAAACCGATGAATGATTGATTGAGAAGAGGAATATTGGGTGAGAAAAGATGATAACAGACTAAGCTGTAGAAAGTAATCTAAAATTCTGAACTGACTGGGAAAAACTGAGTCGTGAGACTTGGAGAAGATAAAGAAAAATGCTAAAAATAAAAGAGGTACTCTAAAAGCCTTCTAATAGGAAAAGAGGCCCTTTGCATATTGCTTTTGCCAATAGATGTCACTGTGAATAAGGCAATGGTCACCAGACTGCTGACACAACATCCTGAATGAGACCCACAGTGTCCTGAAGGCTCAGCCTGTGGAAGAAGAGTATGCAATATAACTCATGTATTAAGGATGTGCTGTTGATAGTGATTTACTCCATTTCTTAAAAGTGAAACAAGATTGGGAAAAAAATAAAATTTCCATAACAAAAGATACATTAAAAAAAACCCCACCATATTTAGGTGAACCTGTGCATTTAAATGCTCCCCTGTTTTCCATAAGCAATTGCTGTTAAATAGTTTCACACATGCCAAAAGCCATGTGCCAGAAACAGCCACCGTAAGAGCAGGGTAAGTTTTTCTGTGTTTTCTTCTCTCTAGAAGTTTCCCCAAGCATTAAAAAAAAAAAAAAAAAATCAAAGTAATTTGTGTGCGGGGAGCCTGAATGGTGCATGGCCATATCAGCACTACCAAGAAAGCTCTGTAAGTCTGGAACATTCTGGCTTAGCTGGACATCCCTGAGCCCATGGAAAGCCACAAGGCAAATCATGGACAGCAGGGCAGGCTATGCCAGTGCTTTGAATTCTGGCTGCAAGCTCTGGGCAAGGACAAATCCACACATACAGTAAATATAGCTGAGCATAGGTGATCATCATTAACCAGTTATGGGTTTTTTTTAAAGGGTGCAGCAAAGATTCATATGGAAAATCTGATCAGTTATTTAAACCAGTTTCTGCTTCGGTTTTCTGAATCAGATGAATGGTGGTGCTCATTTCAGCCATAGCACCACTACTGCCTCACTCTCTGTGTGAGGTTCCAGAAAGGGCTTTTCTACCTGTCTTAGTTACGAGATATTTAAATACCACTGTAAGGATTCAAGGTAGGCTCCTTGGTTCACATAAGCACACTGTAAATGTGAATGTGAATGTGTGTTAAAAGAGCTTTTTGGTATATTGACATCAGTCAAGTGATGTCCCTGGTGTCTGGAAAAAAGGAAAGATTGCACCCATTTGTTAAAAGGGTAGAAAGGAGCACCCCAGGAAGGACTGACCTGTCAGCCTTACCTCTGTTCTGGGAAGACCATGGAAGAGATCCTCTTAGGAGGAGGATCTAAGGCACAGGGAGGACAGGGAGGCAATTTGAGATGCCCAGCATGGCTTCACCAAGGGCAAATCCTGCCTCATTAAACTAGTGGTCTTTTAGGTTGAAGTGACTACATCAGTGAACTAGGGAGAAGCCATGGATGTCATCTCTCTGGACTACTGTAAGACCTTTAACACAACACCCTTCACTCTAAATTGGAGAGGGATTGAAGGGATGGGTGGACTGTTCAGTGGATGAAAAATAGGCCACATATCATGCAGAGGGTATTGGTCAATGGGTGAATGTCCTGATGGACATCGGTGACAAGTGGTGTCCCTCAGGTGTCCATACTGGGACCAGTACAGTTTAGTGTCTTCAGCAATGACACAGACAGTGGCATCGAGTGCACCCTCAGCAAGTTTGCGAATGACACCAAGCTGACACAGCTGTAGGATGGGATGCTACCCAGAGGGACCTGAAGAAACTGGAGAAGTGGGCCCATAGGAATCTCACAAGGTTCAGTAAGATCAAGTGCAAGGCGCTGTACCTGTGTCAGGGCAACCCTTGGTATCAACACAGGCTGGGGATGAACAGATCAAGAGCAGCCTGGCCGAGAATGGTTCAGGGGTCCTGATGGATGAGAGGCTGGACATGAGCTGGCAATGTGCACCCGCAGCCCACAAAGCCAAATGTGTCCTTGGCTGCATCTCTTTGTTTAATTTATTTGCATATCTGTAATTTTTACTGCTCTGGGTTCCCTATGTGTCAGCATACAGAGGGTATACACAGCCGACATGGCCCCCACCTCTGGGTTATGGCAATCAGGATGTAATCTAGTAATCTACCCCTGCAGTGCAGCCGTGGACGAGTGGGAACACCCAGGATATCAGAGCTGAACAGCACTTGGGTAAACATGCTGCTTAGGAGTGATATTGCATAAATAATACAGAAGTCTCATGATTGTGCATCACTTTTCCCTAGTGACTGGTGCATTGCATCCCAACATTGTGTTCAGAGGTGCTTGTAGAGGCATTCACACTAAATTCCTGATAAACTGGGTTGAGAGATTAAAAAAAAAAAAAAACAAAAAAAAAAAACCCCCTCAACTAAGGACTTTCTTCTGCATCTTGCATCCATTCATGGAGGAGGAAAACATGACTGACTGAACAACTTTTTATTGAAATAGAGAAAGCTCCATTTAGTTTTTTGGAAAATGTGTATTCCTGTTTAGTTGTGCTTTACATACTGTTATTTATATGCCTGAGCTTGTTTTCTA